AAAAGAAAACAGATCAAGAATTTGGAAAATGAAAAGAACCCATGAATACAGAATACGACATAAAAAGTAAATATCATTTTCCTCCTACAAGAGACTTTGAATGGACTAATAAAAAATATAAAAGTCTATAAAAAAAATGACAAACAGAAGAAGGATGTAGTTTACCATTAGCAAGCATCATATGATTAATTTTAGAATTAAATAATTGTAAACACAAGACAGATCAAATACTATAACTGAATGGGAAAATTCTGTAATTATGGCATATAATAGTGTACTTATACAAATGACTGTAGAAGAAACGTGGGCTTACTTAGAAACTTATTTAGGCAAGATAGCTTTAGATGTATACATTACAGCAAAAAGATCGAAACCAGATGAAATTAGATTGAGAATGGCTGGAGGAAATAATCCTCAAAATTTTAGAAGTTTTATTAGAGAATTAATTATAGGCTCTGATCGCAATAAAGATAATAACTATGAACAAAATAAAGCCTTAGAAGACTTAGAAAAATTAAGTATTAGTAATATGAAATATAAACAACCATTTTTGTTAGACTTTGAAAGATTAGCAAGGGCTGCAGGATTAGCATTAAATTATCCTATACTTGAAAGATTATATAAAAAGAAACCATTGCCATAGAATGATAAGATTAGAAAAGATGTAGAGTCAAACCCAACAAGAGAAATAACTATTAATGCCACCATAAAATTCATAACTGATAAATTGAAAGAATATTGTGTAGAAGAAGTAGTTAGAAGCAAATAAAGAAATTAAATTATTCTTTTTGCTCAAATTTATATACACTACAGACATATGATTATAGAAGAAAAAATTGTATAAAAAAGAAAAAAAAAACATAAATATAAAAGGCAATATCAAAAGAAGTATAATATTAGACCAAGTAGGACATATTATAAAAATAAAAGACTTAATTACAATAGATATATTAGAAAACCAAAAACTAAAAAAGGTTGTAAATATTATATTTGTGGAGACCATAGACATTTTGCTAACAAATGCCCAAATAAAAATAAAAATAAAGGAAATATAACTAAATCTATGATAATAGAAGAAATACAGTGTAACGTTTTAAAATTATTTGATAATAAATCTTGTAGCTCGATACATAGTATTTATACAGATGAAGAGTTAGATAATTTATAAATAACAAGTAGTCCTAAAGACAGTTATGATAGCTTAAAAGAATTAGATTTTTCAATTTTAGATACAAAGTTAATGAATATAGAAAAACAATCCATGAATGAATTAGAGGACAAGGATCAATGATGAATAAATGTAAAATATGCAAAAATATATCTACAAATAAAAATAGAAATCAATATAAAAATTGTTTAGAAATTCAATGTAATAATTGTTTAGGAATCAAAGGAGAAATAAATAATAATAATAATAATAAAGACTATAGTGAAAATATAAAAAAACTAGAAAATAAAATAATAGATACAAATAATAAAATAGATAAAGTACATGAAACATTACGAGAAATGCAATATAGGATCAGAAATCTAGAAATAAAAGGAAAACAGCCCGTAGAAAGTTACATGGAAAATAACTATTTAGAATCAAAAAATCAAGAAAAAATAACTTGTCAAATATCTAGAGTAAAGACAACAAAAAGTCTCGGGATGCCCATAGAAATACAAATAAATAAATAAATAAATAAATAATATATATATATATATATATATTAAAGATTTTTGTATTTTAAATTTTTATTAGTTTCTTGTGGTTATATATGATAATTCTATTTTACAAAATTCCATAAATATAATTTTCATTTTTTTCAACCAACCAATTAATCTTGTATAATTTGGAACCCTTATCAAAGCGGAGCCTTAGGCAATTGCGTATCTCGCCTATAGCCAGGGTCATCACTATGACTAGCTTCTGGGTCATCAATACCCTTTGACAAGATTTTAATATTTCTTCATAAATAAATAATTATTGATTCATGTGAACTAGAAATAGATTGCGTGGAAATGATAGGAGTTAAGTGTTTTCAAGATCTCAATTCATTATTAAGAGTTACGAGTTTTCTTTCAAAAATTAAATATAATTAAAATTCTAAATATCAATAATAAATTATAGAAATTATTTTATATATCCACCCCACCACCATCTACCTCGCAAACCATAATTATTCCCTATCTCGTCTTTCTTGCTCTTATAAGTCGACTCTCCATTCGTTCTCTTCACTCACCATCTATATATCCTCTCATCGACGACATCACGGCACACCCACAAACTCGATGATGATAACATAGCATCTGGCAACCAGGCAACTTAGCACGTGACATTGATAATGTAGCACGTTGTGTGAGGAACGGTGCTACGTAGGGGTTGTACAGTGTGGCGTTGCCTCGTCTCACAGTGTTGTTGTTGCAGTACCATGCAATAGAGGTGCTGCGTTGGGCAGAGTGTGGTGATGTTGGCGACACGACACCAATAACTTAGCACGTTGTGTGAGGCACGTTGCTACGCGAGGGCTGTACAGCGTCATGTTGCCTCGTCTCACAGTGCTGTTGTTGCAGCACCATGCAATAGAGGTGCTGCGTTGGGCAAAGTACGGTGATGTTGGCGACGCGACACCAATAACTTAACACACCCACAAACTCGATGATGATAACATAGCATCTGGCAACCAGGTAACTTAGCACGCGACATTGATAATGTAGCACGTTGTGTGAGGAACGGTGCTACGTAGGGGTTGTACAGTGTGGCGTTGCCTCGTCTCACAGTGCTGTTGTTGCAGTACCATGCAATAGAGGTGCTGCGTTGGGCAGAGTGTGGTGATGTTGGCGACACGACACCAATAACTTAGCACGTTGTGTGAGGCACGTTGCTACGCGAGGGCTGTACAGCGTCATGTTGCCTCGTCTCATAGTGCTGTTGTTGCAGCACCATGCAATAGAGGTGCTGCGTTGGGCAAAGTACGGTGATGTTGGCGACGCGACACCAATAACTTAACACGTTGTGTGAGGCACGTTGCTACGCGAGGGCTGTACAGCGTCATGTTGCCTCGTCTCAAAGTGCTATTGTTGCAGCGCCATGCAGTAGAGGTGTTGCGCTGGGCAAAGTGTGGTGATGCTGGCGATGTTAGAGAGGTATGATAGTGATGATGGTCGACGGTGGTGTAGTGGTGGTGGAGCGTTGGTTGTGGTGGATTGTAACCAATAAATTAGTTAATTTATTGACATGTGGCCAATTATTTGAAATTGTGCCCAATAAATAATATGTGACCGATAACTTGCGACCAATAGCATTTTTTACAGCAATTTTTGCAAATTGATGAGCAAAATCGAAGATGACTCCTTATGAGCAAATTTTGGAATTGCATAAAATTGATGATTCCATTACAATTTTTTGAATACATACATTCAAACATTAAATGTGATACAACACCATCTAAATAAAAAGGAGAACAATTTCCCTTGATAAATCAATACACTTAAATTATCCATCCACTACAATAAGAAATTATTCATGAACCCAAAACACGGGATATATGGCTTCAATGACCGACTATGTCACCAAACTTATTGGCAAGGTCTGCATCTTAATTCAAGAGTTGTGTTCCTGTGAAGAAGAAGAAGTTTAACAATCGTCCACTCCATCGAAATTAATTTCGCCCACTGATGAGTCTGTGTGTAAGGTTGAGATGAGTATGTGTGTGTGAAGTGAATGAATGACTTTATGGTTTGGACCTTTTTGGGTTTGTCCAATTGGAGTCTATATATAATTTTATTTGAAAAAAAAATGAAATTTTTCACAACACTCAACAAATGTTGTAAAAAGTGAAACCTTTCGCAACGATAATTGAACTTTGCAACAGGCTATATATTGAGAGTTTCAAAAATAGGCACTGAACGTTACTATAGAACCACATTTTAACAACATTTGAAAACGTTGCAAAAAATAAAACTTTTTGCAATAGTTAATAAACATTGCAAATAACTATATATTTAGAGTTTTTAGCAATGGGTACGAGACGTTACTATAGAATTAGATTTTAACAACATTCAAAAAACGTTGCAAAAAGTGAAGTGAATGAATGACTTTATGGTTTGGACCTTTTTGGGTTTGTCCAATTGGAGTCTATATATAATTTTATTTGAAAAAAAAATGAAATTTTTCACAACACTCAACAAATGTTGTAAAAAGTGAAACATTTCGCAACGATAATTGAACTTTGCAACAGGCTATATATTGAGAGTTTCAAAAATAGGCACTGAACGTTACTATAGAACCACATTTTAACAACATTTGAAAACGTTGCAAAAAATAAAACTTTTTGCAATAGTTAATAAACATTGCAAATAACTATATATTTAGAGTTTTTAGCAATGGGTACGAGACGTTACTATAGAATTAGATTTTAACAACATTCAAAAAACGTTGCAAAAAGATAAACTTTTCGTAACATTTAAAAAATGTTGCAAAAGACAACATTAGCAACATTTCATTTAAAAAATATTGTCAAATCTCAATTATGTTAACCAATAGCAATATTCACTTACTAAAATGTTGCGACAAACCCCCTTAACAATATTCAATCAACGAATGTTACCTTTTGCGTATTGCAAAAGACCATTTTTATTGTAGTGATTGTTACTATTCAACACATCAGGAATTGAAAGTTGTAAATCCATAGAATACAAAACTCAGAAGACCAAAATATAGGGATTATATGAATGCACCAACAATTTAAATTTCAATGCTTTTTTATTTGACATGCCAATTAAACCACTACGTCTTACCAAAAATAAGAGTGGAAGGTGGAAATGTCTCGATCTATCTTATTTATTTTCTCGTCTCAAAATAAAACTTAGCAAATTTCACTTTTTTTTTTTTAATAAAGAAAATGCAACTCATACATAGATCTTTCTTGCACATTTAATTATTAAGAATTAGTTGTCTTGTCCAAATCTTTAAATCGATGACCAATTCTAGATCAAATCAAATAATTATTAATTAAAATTGAAAAGAACACACAAACTTCTTTGTAACTACTCACCAAACATACAGCACAGCAAGAAGTTGGATTCAAGCGTAAGAAAGAAAACCCCCACCACAGTTCTTGTCGGCACCCACTTCACCTCACTGCATTTTAGACTGAAGAGTAAGAAGGTAAATTGAATCTCAAATGCAAGAGTGAAGATGGAAAATTCAACTCAAATGTTAGTCCAAGACCGTGAAAAACCCAAAAGGAATCAACCCAGAAGCAGACCAATTTTAGCTTCGAATCGATTTTCTGAGACCAAGAATACCAAGAATCTTGATTTTTCCACTTGGGTTTCGGAAAATCTGTACAAAATACTAACAATCTTTCTACTTATCACCACCGTGGCGGCCCTTTTCTTCCTCCGCAATTATGGGGTTGCCGGCGGCGATACGGCCGCTCTTCTCTGCCTCCAGTCTACTCAGTCTCAGTCAATTCACCCCAAGTTCCCAGTTATCAATTGGAATTCAATTCCGCGCATTATTGATAAAATTACTCCTTATGCGAATTTCCGATCCGAGAAATGGATCGTTGTATCTGTCTCAGATCAACCCTCTGAATCGCTTCGAAAATTGAATAGTATTAAAGGTTGGCAAGTGCTTGCGGTGGGAAATTCCAAAACCCCAAAAGACTGGAGTCTTAAAGGTACGATTTTGTATTGAATTATCACCTCAATTAACCTGCTAGCCAGCATATGAATTGGTGAGGAGTTGATGAAATTGATCGTTAGTTGGATTTTTTTTTTTAACTAATAAGTAATGAATTTAATGTAAAAGTTAAAGGTCAGAACTTTAACATGAATTTGTGAAATATTTATTTATGTTTTTGACGCATACTGGAAGTTTAATGGAGTTCTTTAGGAGATTGATGTTCTTATTTTGTTTGTTTCAACAGGTGCTATTTATTTATCTTTAGAAACTCAGGCTCAATTGGGATTTAGAGTGGTTGATTACTTGCCATACGATTCATATTTGCGAAAAAGTGTTGGATATTTATTTGCCATACAGCACGGTGCAAAAAAAATTTATGACGTTGATGATCGAGGAGATGTGATTGATAATGATATCGGGAAGCGTTTTGATGTTGAATTGATTGGTGAAGGTGCTAGGCAAGAAGTTATTTTGCAGTATAGTCATGAGAATCCTAACAAGACTGTGGTGAACCCTTATATACATTTTGGACAGCGGTCTGTGTGGCCACGCGGGCTGCCCTTAGAAAATGTAGGCGAGATTGGGCATGAGGAGTTTTACACGGAGGTTTTCGGTGGGAAACAGTTCATACAACAAGGGATATCAAATGGGCTACCGGATGTGGATTCAGTTTTTTACTTTACTCGGAAGCCAGTTTTGGAAGCATTTGATATTAGATTCGATGAGCATGCCCCAAAAGTGGCATTGCCACAGGGTACAATGGTGCCTGTTAATTCATTCAATACTATTTTTCATTCATCTGCTTTTTGGGGTTTGATGCTTCCGGTTTCAGTTAGTTCAATGTCTTCTGATGTGTTGAGAGGGTATTGGGCACAAAGGCTTCTGTGGGAAATTGGTGGGTATGTTGTGGTGTATCCTCCTACCGTTCATCGTTATGATAGGATTGAAGCATATCCTTTCTCAGAAGAGAAAGATCTTCATGTGAATGTAGGCCGGTTAATCAAATTCTTGGTGGGATGGAGATCAGATAAGCACAGGTTATTTGAGAAAATTCTTGAACTAAGTTATGTGATGGCTGAAGAAGGGTTTTGGACGGAAAAAGATGTGCAGTTTACTGCCGCTTGGCTTCAAGATTTGCTTGCTGTTGGTTACCAGCAGCCTCGGCTGATGTCTCTCGAGTTGGATAGGCCAAGAGCAAGTATTGGTCATGGAGATAGGAAGGAGTTTATCCCCCAGAAACTACCGTCTGTACATCTTGGAGTAGAGGAAATTGGCACGGTGAATTCTGAAATTGCAAATTTGATACACTGGAGGAAGAGTTTCGGGAATGTTGTGCTTATAATGTTCTGCAGTGGACCCGTCGAACGAACTGCTCTGGAGTGGAGATTGCTATATGGTAGGATATTTAAAACAGTTATCATACTCTCTGGTCAGAAAAATGTAGATCTTGCTGTGGAAGAAGGCCAGTTGGACCATGCTTACAAGTAAGTGTATTCTTCTTTTTTCCTCGTTTCATGCTTTACTTTTTACAGAATTTTTAATTGTTACTTAAACGAGTAACTATTCCAGGTTGACTTGTATCATATCAGGACTAGTTTGCGCATCGAAAAAATTCTCAAGATAATAATCTATTGGGGTCACCTGAAAATCGATATTTAAAACAGTTATCATACTCTCTGGTCAGAAAAATGTAGATCTTGCTGTGGAAGAAGGCCAGTTGGACCATGCTTACAAGTAAGTGTATTCTTCTTTTTTCCTCGTTTCATGCTTTACTTTTTACAGAATTTTTAATTGTTACTTAAACGAGTAACTATTCCAGGTTGACTTGTATCATATCAGGACTAGTTTGCGCATCGAAAAAATTCTCAAGATAATAATCTATTGGGGTCACCTGAAAATCGAAAAAATATTGGTCACACCTTGTCAAATCAAATATTTTTTATGATCTGTTTTTGGCTTGAATGATGTGAATAATGTTGCCAGCTTTCATTTACTCATGCTTGAACCAATTTTTGGCTAGAGTCAAGCTAGACAAAATCTAAATAGTTTCAGGATTGGTGCTTACCAAACTGGTTTTAAGTAATTTGAAGCAAACTTAGTCCCACTTAACACTAAATTTAAGAGCTTGTCAAACACTACATAATATTTGCAATTAATTTTACACTCTCATCCCTGTTGTGGTCGATCATACTTCTCACTGGGTGGTGGACTCATGTCTCTTAAAGTAATTACTTTTTCTGTTATGAATATCATTCATAATTTTCTATTTGTACTTTAGCCTTCACTGGATTTGACGATCTAGGCCTATTTTTTGGTCATCAATCAGGTGGATTTGGTTTTATCATTTTCCACATAGCTATAGGCTAAAAGAAATACTACCAAAAAGAACATTTCATCCCAAGTAATTTTCTTAAATGGCAACCTAGAAATTTTTGTGATCTTTCCTTTCTAAGTTTGAAGTAGTTCGAAGTTATGCTTATTCGATTTGAAATTAGCCCTTCTGATAGGGGAAGCAATTAATTTGTAATACTTTATTATAAATTATTTGCAATCTATCAGTTTCTTGTTATATAGAATGATGTTATCACACACTTGTGGGAATCGGAGAAACTAACAATATTTGGCTTTCATGGTGAGTGACTAATATGGCTCCATCCTTTGATATTACAATATCACGGCAGAATAAGCCGTCCATCTCTGTTGCCGATAAAGCAAGTAAAAAGTGATTATGATTAAGGCTGATAAAGCTTATTTAACCAGTTAACGCATGTCCCTTGTGTTGCTTGCCCAAGATGGCTTTTGTTGTTCAAGGTTCAAGTTTTCTTCTTTACTAGTATACTTATGTGACGAGAAGCTGTTTGTGATTCGGTGTAATGCAACAGTTGTCTACGTTTGGTGTTATATTTCATTAATTCACCGTTATCACATTTTGCTTTCAGGTATCTGCCGAAATTATTTGATAGATATACCAGTGCAGAAGGATTTTTATTTCTTCATGATGATACTATTCTTAATTACTGGAACTTGTTGCAAGCAGATAAGAGTAAGCTCTGGATTACAAACAAGGTAAAATAGCATGTTCATCCATAAGTGTGTCGTGACTGCTCATGAATATAAAAGCTGCTTGTGGATATATAGAACATGTTTGGCTAACTTAAAATGTTCAAATTATAGTAAATAAATGAGTTTTAAAATAATCGGCGAGTTGCCTAAAAGTCATTTCAATTCCTGAGAGGATTACGATAAAATTTTTTTCTCATAAAAACTAAACGAATCCCAAGTACAAATTTGGACCTTGGATTCATCAGTCTATTTTTTCACAATAGTTATTTTTGTTCCATAAAATAAGAATAAGTTGAGACTTGTTAAAGTAATGATTGAAAATGAAATATTTGTCAATTATGCTAACTGGGCAAGTTGAGTAAAAGATTCTTGAATAAGGAAAACAAAAGAATATAAATAATAGTTCTAGACTTTCTTTTAACAAGTTTGAAAGGACTCATTTATTTCTAAATCATCGTTTCATTTCTTAGTATTCCCGATTTACCCACTAAGTTAGTTTGATTGGTTCATTGCACCTAAGTTTGATATAAGTTTTGATTCATCTTCTTAATTTGAACCCACTTCTATACTATCATCTTCTTCATCTGCACTGAAGAAATGATTGGAATGGCATATGCCTTCGCTTTTTTATCCAATTTGGACCAAAAGTTGATGCATCCTTTTTTATTTTGTCATTTTCTTGCCTTTCTTGTACCAACTTTAGGGGTTCAAATTTAATTCTAATTAGCACATTTAAAACTAGATAATATTGTTATAAAATAGAGAAAAGAAGAGGAAGAAGAAGCAAGTAGAGAAGTCAATTACTCGTTTGTATTATATTGAGAAACAAAACCCCATTTTCATGGAGAAGATTTAGAAATACAATGATAATAAAATCTAGGGTTGTAGGTATATAACTATCATCATTAACAATTCGTATTATTTATAACACTTCCTCTTGAATAACAAATTATAAAATATATGTCTCGTTAAAATCTTATCAAGAAAATTCAGTTGGACAAAACTTAATCGAAGAAAAAGAGTATAGTTGCTCCTCTTATTTTCAATAAATGAAAATTCTTGTGCCAATCAATCCATGTCTTGTACGTCAATGTTTTCAATATTACAATTTCTAGTAAAGTATATCTCATATTGTTTTGTATAATTTTCAAATGTTACTATATTCATACAAGATATTTATCAACTTTTGATGATTGAGTAACATGATGATTCCAAAAAATAGCTGTGTCGATCACTTCTGGAGTCTTGTACATGTAAGAGTATTATTTTGATAGTAAATATCTTTGTATGTTATGAACATTCATTACACAAAGAATGCGTCTCATTAAAATCTTATTTGAAAAAATCATGTGAAAAAAATCTTAATGAAAGAAAAAGAGTATATGTACATTTTTTTTTTGAGTGCGCTACAAAAATTGTCTTGTTAATATATTATCTGAAAAATCCAATAGAATAAAAATTTAGTTGAAAAAAAATAATAGTACAACGTGTATTTATTCACCTTTGTGATAATATCCAAGGGCCGTACCCAAAGGGGGTCCTGAGGGGTCATGTGATCCCCCAACTTTTAAGATTTTTTATTTTTGATAAGTCCTATTTGGTATCAATTGAAATCTAAATTGTAATCGAAATTAAAGTTAATAATTAATTTCAATAACAAATTTCATGGAATCCTTAACTTTTTAACTTTTATCAAAATCAAAATTTACTAAAAAACTAATTTTAACTCCCACCAAATAGGTGCAAAATCACAATGATTTTGAATTTTCTTTTCTTTTCTTTTATTCTATCTTATTCTCTCCCTCACACATTTTATCAAAACCTTAACACTTCTAATTTTTTAAAATTTGTTTATTATTTTTCTACAAATTATCACATTTACTACAAATTTTTACTTTTCAATCAAATTTTCAATTACTTTTATCCTATCATATTTGTGTATATGGGATGCGTTTGAACTGATTATAAATAATATAACTTATATTTAACGAATTGTGATTA